TCTAAACTTACAAGATTTATCTTATCAAAGAATAACTGATTACTGCTACCCGATCTCATGTTTTAAAAGAGTTGCGTCAACAACGGGTAAGCACTAAAGCTGAGGTTGTTGATGATAAAGTTCTTCTTTTCTGATGAATCATAGAAATTGTTTTAGGTATCTCCTTTTTTTTTCAAGTTTTATCAAAGGACTTTAACATTTCAGGAATTGCCTCCTTTATATTAACTTTCACTTGTAATGGCAATAGTTCTTTAATAGGTGCAGATTGTTTTTGAAAGTTTTAATGGTAAAAAAGACCTCAACAGTGTTTGTATGTATGACAGTAAGACAGGTGAGTGCACAGTCTTACCTTTCATATGATGGAGAAAAGAGGGAAAGTTTTGTTGCAACAGAAAAGATTAATTTCACGACAGGCTTGAAAGATAAGAAAAATATCTTAAATTATTGCAATGCTTTTGAACAGAAATCCGTTCTTCCTGGAGATATGTTCCTTTATCGAATAAGCAGCAATTCGGAGCCATTCTAGAAGTTGTACTACTTGAACAAATTTTGTATAAGTAAGGTAGTGTTCATCAAATGATAAAAGAGCATTGCTAATTAAAATCATTTACATCAATTTTAATAATAAATAGGTGGATTTACATAATATGTTAATATTCAACATTAGAGTGCAAAAAAGTAAAATGATGATTACTGCCATTTAAAGCAAATGAACATGGTCATTTTGCAGTGTTAAATCAATGATAAAGTGTTTCAAAAGAAAGGTATTTTAGCAGATAAGGATTAAAGAACACATCACATAGCTTTAAGATTGGCCTTGGAATAAAGTGATTAGTTCATCATAAACAAAATGATTAAAGAAAAACAGGGAGGTGTTTTTCTATATATTTCTATACTAAAATCTAGCTATATAATTTAACACAATTGTACTACTTCAACATTAATAACCAGATATCCCTTTAGAGGGTGTGTTTATTGCATTTGCTTAATACTTTTATTTGTTTTTTATTTTAAAATAAAAATAAAAGTATTAAGCTTTACCTAAGATTTCGAAATCGACTCTTTCTTAAAGCTATTTTATCATTAACTACCAACTTCCAATGAAAAAACTTCTTCGCAATTTAACTCTATGTTTTTTTTAAGGTAGTTAAAAGATATTATAATTGGTCATTTTTATTATATGGAAAGTCCTTTTCTATGCTCCAGGCTAACTGGGAGTCAGCGAGGCGTGAAATGAAGTCGACGCATTAAGAGGAAGCAAAACTTCAAGCGTAAAAATTACAACTGTTTGTTAAACGCCACAAGTTGTGTCTGTTGTGTTTCTCAAAAGTGGAGAAACAGGTTGTTTTGTTTTTTTTAAATGCTTTGCGTAGTTAATAAATTAGAATATCACGAAATTGCTCAATAAGATTTATACATTTAACCCGTGAAAGAAAGCTATTTTCCAGAAACTTTAAAAAATGTAATGTGAGGTAATAAAAACTAATCTCCTTCAATGCTTCCATCAAAAATAATGTGATGCGACTCTTAGTTCGTAAAACAAAGTGTGCAATATGCTTCCATTGCATTATTTGCACGCATGAAGAAACTATACGCTTAATTCTTCATGCAAATAACACAAGTGACCATACAAGTTAACTTAAGTGAACATGCTCACATTAAAACTAGTTTTATTTTTCAGAAGGAGAAGTTTCTCATTAACTGATGTTTGTGGTTTTGGTAAATTAAAACTATATGAAGTTAACTAACAACTGAACATAAGTACAAATCATTAATGTGTGTACAAATGTAGGGCAAATGAAACTTCAAAGAGAAGTAATGCCACTTTAAGACAAATAATCACTCTAGCTAAAGATCAAGAAATCTTAATCAAAGAAATGTGTTCTAATATTCAGCGGATGAAGCAATAATCATACCAAATAAGCCATTTGGAGTAATAACTGTAAAATTAATTAGCAACAGTTTGACATAGCAGAGGTATAATCTACAATATTAACAGGACAAACTAATCGCCATGCCACCAAATATAGGTGCAAAGAAAACAGAGGAAATCCAACGAAACAAGACGACTGAACATTTAAACAGCTTAGCTCAAACGAAACAAATCAGCCTTTAAACAACAAAACAAGACAGGTAAGGACAACATAATGCGAAACAGTTCAGTTAACATGAAATATCCCAAAATGCAGAAAACCAACAAAGGAGCGAAAGACAGTCCAAAAGCTCACGAATCAAAGCAGTAAAAGACACAAAACGAGATACGCTGCGAGTTGAATCAACATCTTAAAAACTCATGTTTATGGATGCAAACTACCTAAGGCCATGGAATAAGATGATGAAAGACTAGCGAAAGAAGACAACTGAATGCCGACAACACAATATACTTAAAGACAAGAATCATTCCTGCAAGAAAACAGCGAACTATAGAAGAGGAAAGAAGCAACGAGCGCATGGAGAAGGAGAGAGAGCCAAGAGCAAATACCTCATCAAGTTATCTGTCCTTTATATACAATGTTCATGCTAATTATTATTCAAGAATATGTTAACGTAATGTCCCTTATTTTGTACTCTATAAGATTAAATGTACAATGGCACGAGTACAATTGTTTTGTATACAGTGTGTATTAAAAACATTCGAATTTAAATTAGGTGTTAAACAACGCAGAATACAATTGGAAAATCGTTTGTTTTTTGCAACTTTGTTAGGTCATTTACTTATTGCCTTTTGAATGAAATGTTGTACGCATCTTTTGGTGTCAAAATGAAGAGGTATTAGTTTGACAAACAAAATTAATAAAAATCAGAATTTGCCGCCAGTGATAAGTAAATTTATTTTCAAATTTACTCCCACAAGGCTTTTTAATCACTTAAATGCTAATCATCACAGCAAACTTAATGCAAATTGTATGCTTTATAAACTCAATGGTTCCTAAACATGGCAGAAGCCACATTTCCTGTGAAAATGCTTTTGGAAAGCGGTAGCGTAAAAATACATCATTAGCTCGAATCTGGTATTGCTCAACTGTGGCAAGCATTACAGATTTACAAAGGCAAGTAAACGAAACGAAGTAGAACAATAACTTGATTTGATTGTATTTCGGACTTCATGAATACATGGACAACACTTACACGTCATTGTACTGTGTGTACATGAAATGTGTGGGTGTCAATTGTGTATTGTATATATTGTCCCTTACTATACTCTTCATGTCCCTTACTATACTATTAGGGTCATTACCAAACTAACTCGTTTCTATGTTGGTGTCTGTTTTCTCAGAAGAGCATTTTAATAAAGTAGGAAATTCTAATAAGCAGTCGAACAATTCTTTCCCATTCTCTTTCAGTTGCATACGCTGACAAATATGGTGCAAGAAATTAAAATTCTGTTCGTTATTAATACTTTTCTTGACTTAAGAAAATTTTTCAAACGTAATCTAAAATAAATTTTTCTCTTTCTTAAAGGTCAATTTATATATACATATATAATACACGTGGATGATATGAGAACTTAATTGCTATAAAACTTAAAGAAATGATATTTTCCTTCAAAATATATTGGATAACAATTTGGCAAACCAATAAGGATAATACTTATTTCAATCTTCCTATACAAGCATTGCATGCATGTAAGCAGAAACAAATGATTTTATATGTCTTTAACTTATTGCTAATGTAAAAGTTATTAGTTAAGAAAAAAAATGTTTACCGTGTCTGCACAGTAAATGCAAATCGGAGGCCTTTGGGAGATCTCTAGAGCAGATCAGTGCAAGCCAGAGACCGAATGTCTAGGGTTGCACATGCTCGAGTATGAAATAGTAATAATGGCATACATTTTTATTTTTTCCTCTAAAATGTATTCATGATTGATTTACAAATTCTATTTGACTAATTGATTGTTTAAATTGATTTGATTGGTTGAGCTCAGATGGTTTTGCACTGGCTAATGCAAACTCAGATCTAGGCTAATCAGCGCAAGCATTTCATTATGCTTATTTCATAATTAGAGTTCATATAATTTCAAGAACAATTAATTTTTATTACAATATCAATAATTATTTTAACAATATATAAATATGTATAACCGCACATCCACAGTCCCAAATGCAGGAGTTTGATGTACCTCAGATTTCTTTTGAGGATCAATGTAACCCAGGTATACTTAACAACAGTGTTATAAAGTAAAGATACGTGACGCAACTCACAGCCGTAGATTTACCAAATCACAGCCGTAGATTTACCAACTCACAGCCGTAGATTTACCAAATCACAGCCGTAAATTTTCTGTCTACATGAGAAAAATTTTTCATAATCTTTAAATTTGAAGATATTTGAGAAAAGACTTGGTGAAACAGTTAAAACGAGACGAAGAACGCGGAGTCATAGAGAAAACGGATGGACCAATACCTTGGGTTTCACCAGTCGTGGTCGTACCAAAACAAAAAGGGGAGTTCCAAGTTTGTATAGATATGCGACAAGTAAACAAAGCAATAAAGAGAGAACGACACTTGACTCCGACTATTGGTGAAATTATGAGTGATCTAAATGGTGCTGTATGGTTTAGCAAATTGGACTTAAATCAAGGCTATAACTAGTTAGAGCTAGATGCAGAATGAAGATATTTGACAACCTTCTCAACACACGTTGGTCTACGGAGATTTCGACGTTTGAATTTTGGAATAAGGTGTGCTGCAGAGATATTCCCAAATGCCATCAGAGAAACGTTGAATGGACTGAGAGGAGTGATTAATATCAGTGATGAAATTATGGTGTTTGGCGTAGACGAGAAAGATCACGATGCAAATTTGAACGCGGTATTTCAACGAATTAAAGATCGAGGACTAACTCTTGAGAAGAAGAGATGTCTGTTTAAGAAAAGAAATTTAATATTCCAAGGGTATGTGTTCTCAGAGAATGGTATTGTGCCGGATCCCAATAAAGTGAGAGCAATTAAGGAATGCACAAATCCTAAAGATGTAGGAGAAGTACGAAGTTTGTTAGGCATGATAAATTTTTGCTGTCGATATATTCCACATTATGCCACAATTACGGAGCCGCTACGTATACTTATCAAGAAAGATGCCCCATTCGTGTGGACAAGAGAACAAGAAGACACAATACCAGAAAGTTTACGAGAGAAAGTAGTGAACATTGCTCATGAAGGTCATATGGGAATGTCAAAAACGAAAGCGTTATTACGTGAAAAGGTATGGTTTCCTCGTATTGATGAGTTAGTTAATGAAAAAGTTAAATCGTATTTAGCCTGTCAGATTACAACTCCAGTCAGTGAAAAGGAACCATTGAAAATGTTAGAGTTGCCAAGATCTCCTTGGAAAGAGATAAGTATGGACTTTGGTGTAGCTCGTACAGGCACAGGTGAATATTTATTTGTTTTGTATGATGATTTTTCCAGATATCCCATTGAAGTAATCCGATCAACGTCCGCAAAGGCTGTTATACCCTGTTTGGATAAGATTCTTTCGGAGTTCGGGATACCAGATACGATACGTTCAGACAATGTACCGCCATTCAATACCAAGGAATTTTACGAGTTTTCAAAGTATTTGAGATTTATACACAGAAAAGTTACTCCTTATTGGCCGCAAGCCAACGGGGAAGTGGAAAGATTTATGCGTACTACCAAAAAGACAATAAAGGCTGCAATAATGGAGGGAAAAAAAGCAAGAAATCCACAGTTTCCTGCGAAATTATCGTGCCACACCAAATAGTTCGACCAAAATCTCTCCATCTATGGCTTTATTCGGTCGACCAATGAAAGTACGTTTACCTGAAGAATCATTTCATGTAGATACAGAGTAAAGAAATAGAGTACAGGATAAAAAAGCAAAATTGAAGAGGAAATTACATGCAGACAATAACAGGAACGTAAAGACAAGTAAGATTAAAGTAGGTAATATAGTGTTAGTAAAGAAAGATACGACCACTAATAAGCAACAAACACACTATGATGTTAAGCCATGTGAAGTCGTGGAAAGAAAAGGTTCAATGGTAACAGCGAAGAAAGATAGAATGTTGTTTACTCGTAATGCATCATTTTTCAAGAAGATAGAAAATGGGAAAAGTCCAGGAGAACCCATTGAGGAAAGTATAAAGGAAAAAGAACGGCGGTATCCTTTGCTTACAAGAAAAACCCCTATTCGATACGGACAAGTAGAAAGTTAATATAGAAATAGCTATAAAAGAAACAATTAATATTTTCATATACGAACTTATAGATACAAAATACACAAAAAAAAATTTAATTAGTATGAATTAGGTGTAGTATAGTTATTACGTAAATTATTATTATTTCGTACGTCATATAAAGTATATTATAATAAAGTAAAGATCTGTATAAAAGTAATATGACAAAGCAATAAAAGGGAGAAATCTCACAATATTACATATATTAGGTTGGATTTTAAATGATTTATATAAGCGTGACAGTGAGCAAGTTTGTGCTTAGTGAAACGCGCCGTATTGTAAAATAAATTTTTTCTGCAGCCAAATATGCTTGATTTTAAATGTGTTTTGTCGATAGCATATTTCAACTACGTATATATATGAGATACTGCAGCTTACCGCAAAATCAGTGTTTGCTTGATAGAAAGAGGTAATGCATAAATTTATATTTGCACGTAACTTTTACATCATTTTGTGTTCTTTATTAGGTAGTAAAAACACGACAATCGTATCCTTTAAAGAAATCCTTTTGGTATTTGTAAGAGTTTGAGTTTATGGAGAATTGCACCAGAAAACAGGAAGATGAAAACGAATACTATCGAGCACCGAACGTTCACCAAATATTCTAAGTCACAGCCGTAGATTTCCAGCTCACAGCCGTAGATTTACTAACTTACAGCCGTAGATTTACTAACTCACAGCCGTACATTTACCAGCTCACAGCCGTAGATTTACCAACTCACAGTCGTGGATTTAACAACGCACAGCTGTAGATTTACCAGCTCACAGCCGTAGATTTAACAACACACAGCTGTAGATTTGCCAACTCACAGCCGTAGATTTACCAGCTCACAGCCGTTGATTTAACAACACACAGCTGTAGATTTACCAGCTCACAGCCGTAGATTTACCAGCTCACAGCCGTAGATTTTCTGTCTACATGAGAAAAGTTTTTTTATAATCTTTAAATTTGAAGATATTTAACTCAGTTTAATTTCTCAACTATAAAAAACCAGCTAGAAAATTTAGTTAAAGCTGTCTTATAATGAACATGTTGTGTTCTGTGATCTGATATTTATAGAAAAAATAAATTTTATTTGTCACCAATACGAAACTCTACTCTTTGTGTATATCATTGATATTTCTTTCCGCCGCATCACAGTTGACATTCAACCTCTCATTTATAATGTCTCTGAAATATTTTTTTTTCTTGCAATAACGCAAAATCTTTAAATGCTTCACGACGCATTTACTTATTTAGAAAAGTCGACCATGATGAACTTAAATTACTATTATGGATATAGTCCAGTTATGCCGGAGTATGTACAAACCATTTTAAATAGATCTGCTTTGAGAGATCGTTTACCGGCGATTGTCATCTTCTCTATCCAAGTTTGCCTCCTTTATATAAACCATACACTTCATCTGAAGCTCTAAATGTGAGTCTCCAAATGGAGTCGTGTTGGAGTTCAGTTAAATCTTACTTTTTAAAGTTTTTGTCCAATAACTTTATCGCAAGTGAACTCAATTCTGTTTGTTCTTCAGTATTTCAGAATGCCACATTGAGTACGCCTTATTCGCCATATCATCATGCATACTAGCAATTTCGCAATTAAGAGCGAGAAACCGCGTCGTCATTTTCGATTAGGAAGCGTTCGAGAAAATCTGCCTTTTTGCTTGTAACCAAAGGTCGCCTGGATACATCTGTGTACTACATGGGTTAGCCCATAGCTCTAACTTAAAATAAACAAATTGTATTAAGTATCTTTCAAGCACTCTAACTCGAATCCTAAAATTTCAGATCATCGAGTTTGTACCTTTAACTTTCCACCCACCACCTTCACAATTTCCGAACAACCATCTTTCAACCACGTCAGAAATGTACAACTGGGATTGGTGTGAAAGCGATGGCCTTAAACGCCCACCCAAATACAATCCGATGGATAATTCGAATGTCAAATTGACATTTCAAATTGAATGTCAAATTGAAACGTATGCGATGATGACCCGAACACTTAAAGAGAAGGAAAAGATGAGCACCTAAATGATTTCAATGCTCTCAATGTGAAAAGTTATTCGGCAAGTCGTCACAACTTCGTCATCACTTTCGAACGTACACGAGATACCGGCCTTACAATTTTGAGCACTTTGTTCAAACTAGCGGACTTTCACAAGAATCCATAGGGGGGGAGAAACCTTACCGCTACATACGTTGCAACAAGCGATTTACGCAAGCTGTCATGTTGCGAAGTTACACGAGAACTCATATCGGAGAAAAAGACTTCCCTTGTGGAGAATGTCCGAGAACATTTTCTTGCATTTACGCTTAAAAGGCGCATGCGCTGAAGCACAAAATCGTGCAGGCAACAACACCCGATAAGATGAAACGTGCTAAAAGTGATGATAAAAAAAACAAAGAAAATTGAGGACCAGCAAAAGCAATATACCAAAATAGACGTACTTATTCCTGCGAACAATATGGAAATTGGGATATTGAGCAATCAAATTAACGAAATTTTATAGATCATTGATAAAGACCCCGATTTAAATTAATTACTAAGAGAATATACTATTACATTCATTACACAGGCATACTACATGAACATATTCAGTTTAACTTCCCCTTGGTATTTGCTATCTTTTAAACGATCGTCAGAATTGTCCTCACTACAAACTCTCTATTTTACTAATTTAGATTTATAGATAATACAGTTGATACAAAAGAAACAACTTTAATTAGTCTTCAACGTGCAGAATCAGTCAAATTTGACTGATTTAGGAGATGCATGGATTTCAAAGAAACAATCCACAGAAATTATTACTCTCCACCTATGTTTCATGTTTACTCGTGCTGAAACTATTGCAATTAATTTTTTTGATTATATGTAATTGATTTCTTTTGACAAACTCAAAACTTTCTACTTTCATTTTAGAGTTTATTCTGGATGCAGGGAAATAAAGGAAAAGTCTCATCAAATAAAAGCATACCGTTTTTTCATTTGTTTATCATAATTGATTGTAAAAAAGGAAATTTTAATGGAAATTTTTTACAATCGTTACATCGAGATATTTTGAATTTCGTCCGAAACCATCGAAAACACAGAAACTTTAACTGTTATCAAACATTGCCGTGCGGAAAGAAGCGATCCGATAGTTTCAGGAACACCTTAACCATGTTCTGATGGCCTAACCAAAAGATTACGCTTTGACATTTTGCATATTTGCTAGAACAAAGTCGGTGAGGACAAGTTCTATAAAATGGTATATCAAAAGAAAAATGACCTAAATAAGTTTGACATTACACTTTTAACTCAAACCAATGCAACTATAAAACACCTCCAAAAGAGTTCATGGAACGCATAATTACACAGTCAATCCTTGAAAATCCCAAATTTTGATTTTATAATGTGTAGCATTACCCCGAACGTCGGTAGTAATTTTTACGACATTTTTCGATCCACCCAATGTACATGTCTCCAAAAGACGATTTATTAACGTCATTCAACTTTTCTTTCACATTATATGTCCCTACCATCTACATGCTAAATAAACTACGTAAGGTAGCACTAATATTGTTCATGATTTAAAAAAATAAAACAGAAATATTTATAAGCAGAAATACTTTGCAAGATGTTAAGTTATGAAAGATATACGAATTACTGGTACCCCATCTCATGTTTTGAAAAAGTTTAAAAAGGTAGTGGCGGCCATAAATCTGAGATTGTTGATGATAAAGTTATTGTTATTTGATTAAAAAAAAATAATAATTGTGATGTACCTCTCTGTTGTTTGGAGTTTTATCAAAGAATTTTAGCATGTCAGTAATTTTCTCCGTTACTTTATTCATCAACTGTAAAGGCAATCTTTCTATGGATGGTGTACGTTGCTCTTATTTAAAGTTTTTATGATAGAAAAAAGACTTGCAGAGTCTAGGTGTGTGAAAGTAAGAAAAGGAAGTGCACAATCTTACCTTGCATATATTGGAAAAAAAGACTGAGATCTAAGATCTGAAAGGTAATTGACAAGATTATTGCTGTCACGAGAGGCTCTAATAATAAAATCAATATGTAATATCCAGAGTCAGTGGAATGTTTTTAAATGGGAAGCAGTTCTTCATGGAGATGAAATCGTTTGTTGAATGAGAATTCGTGAGGTTTTACCATTTGAACAAAAATTACGAATAAGTAAGATAATGTTCACCATAAGATGTGAACTCTATTAATATTTCATTTATATTAATTTTAATGCTAAAGTGGTTTGAAAGGGTAACATTTCGGCATCTAAAGATTAAAGAACACACAGAATATCTTTTACATTAAGTTTGAAATAAAGTGTTAAGGTCATAATAAAAATAGCGAATACAAAAAAAATTGTAGATATACATATACATATACAATACTTTATTTCAGAACAACATCTAAATACATCATTATTAAGAAAAAGGAAACCCAGAGGTTAGCCCTATATTAAGGTTCTCCTATTTATGTAAAAATCTTACAGAACAGAATAAAAAAAAAAAAAAATAATAAAAAAAAATAGTAAATAA